TTTATACCAAAGTTAGAATTAGAAAATGAATTTGTTTTGATGTGAGATGAAGTAAATAAATCTAAGTAAAGTTTTGATATATATAGATATTTGATATACTAGTACTGTACACCTTTAAACCCAAAGAGTCAATTAAGCTCAGTTTGAGGAATCTGAATTCGAAACATACTGTAATCTCAAGGGTCTATTAATATTGCAATTGAAAGCCCTGAAGTTTTCTTTTCCACTAAAACATGTTTCCTCCATAAGCATTGGATCTCAAGACATCTTCATGATATGTAGGGAGTCAGTGCTACCATTGCACCTGCAGTATACTGGTTACAACTGGGGTATAACTTCAAAACGTTCTAACAATTGTCTTTGTATGAATATAGAGGGAATTGCAGTAACTGACAGATTTTTCAAGGCCTGTAGGCAGTTGAAGATAGGAATAAGATGGACAGAAGGAATTAGATTTTCAAAGAAGTGATTGGGAGGCACGGTAGTCCAGTGGTAGGACACCGGGCTATAGGAGGCACGATAGTCCAGTGGTAGGACACTGGGCTACAGGAGGCTCGGTAGTCCAGTGGTAGGACACCGGGCTCGTGAACGAAGGGTTGGGAGGCACGGTAGTCCAGTGGTAGGACACCGGGCTATAGGAGGCACGATAGTCCAGTGGTAGTACACTGGGCTACAGGAGGCTCGGTAGTCCAGTGGTTGGACACCGGGCTCGTGAACGAAGGGTTGTGAGGCACTGTAGTCGAGTGGTAGGACACCGGGCTATAGGAGGCACGGTAGTCCAGTGGTAGGACACAGGGCTATGGGAGGCCCGGTAGTCCAGTGGTAGGACACCGGGCTCGTGACCGAAGGGTTGCAGGTTCGCGCCACGGCACGGCAATGTGTTGTATCTTTGAGAAAGATACTTTATACTCCGCTTGTTCCAGTCTACTCAGCTGTAAATGAGTATGTGGTTGGGCAGTGCTAGAATTGTTGAATGCTAGCGCTGAAATCGCAGCTCCGGCTGTATGCTCCCCAGGGAGTTGAGAAATGTATTGGCTGGTTGCAAAGGCCCTATAATTATAACCACGGATAATAATTTGTGAACCGCTTTGAGGCGACCTACGAACTAGGATGTGATAAAGCGGAGTATAAGAACCTCCAATTATTATTATTATATAAGATGCTTTGTTTAAAGCTGGGTGTAGTTGACAAGTTTACACAATCTGCCCCCACAACCATTATAACATACAGCTGTAGTATCTGTAGAGGTGATTTATTGAAGGGGCTGGCTGGTTTGGTTGGGACTCCGTCCTAATTAGGTCATCAGTACATATAGCTGTTACATCTCTGAGGTGATTAATGGCCTGTAGCAGGGCCTGGCCTCATCCACAGAGCCAGGTGAACAGTATGTGTATATACTTTATTCAACCTATAATTACAGTATAAACCAGGGGTAATTAAATATATATAGTGAGACCATGCCAGGGGTAATTATATATATATAGTGAGACCAGGGGTAATTATATATATACAGTGAGACCAGGGGTAATTATATATATACAGTGTGACCAGGGGTAATTATATATATATACAGTGTGACCAGGGGTAATTATATATATACAGTGAGACCAGGGGTAATTACATATATACAGTGAGACCAGGGGTAATTATATATATACAGTGAGACCAGGGGTAATTATATATATATATACAGTGAGATCAGGGGTAATCATATATATACAGTGAGACCAGGGGTAATTATATATATACAGTGAGATCAGGGGTAATTATATATATACAGTGATACCAGGGGTAATTATATATATACAATGAGACCAGGGGTAATTATATATATACAGTGACTGAGACCAGGGGTAATTATATATATACAGTGAGACCAGTGGTAATTATATATATTGCCAAATAGATATGTCACTAAAAGAATGCATGTGAATTCGAACCTCATATCATTTGTCAATTGTATACATGTACTGCGATGATATTTTTACAAATGCACAAGGACATTGTAGACTAATCACTTATAATGACTTTCAGTCATGTCTAGACTAGTTGGGCTCTTGTATTGTAACAGTTGTAATGGGATATTATGTGTTTGACGATGCGCAAATAAGAAATATCGAAAATTGAAATTGATATAAGATTGATTTTGAAATGAGAGTAGTTTTTACCTACTTTAGATTTTAAGTCTTTGAAATATTCAATATTTAGAGATTGACAATTGACTTCAGTCAGGTTTTTGTGACATGTCTGATGGTACATTATTGAAATAGAATTTCTGGATAATTTTCATTACTGAGCAATTCAATAGCTGAAAGCTATATAGTAGACAGATGGTGATTATAATTATATAAATTAATTAACATTTACTATAGTGGACTTTTACAACAATCTACCGGCAGACATACAAATACAGAATATATATACCTGTAAATACACAGTATCTTAAAATTATTTGAGCTTTAATTTGTGATCTCTTTTGATCTTGGGTTTAAGAAATTATGTAACTGCCAGACTGATAATTACATTAGAATGTGCACAGGAGTTGGATAGATTGAGAGCAGTCAATGAAGGGTTGATACACGTACATGTAGTGTACCTAATTACATGAACATGTATACAATTACTGATGAGTACAAGTAGGACAGCTGATGAGTCGAGCCCCACCATCCATTCATGTGAAGCATCCGTTGAAAGACCATGGTGTTTTGTATGCTGAGTTCACTTTAAAACTAGATTATTGATACATGTATGTATAGGAATTCCAAGAAAATAAGTAAGTTTATGTTGCAGTCAAAATTACCATAACAACTATATACATGTAGATGTACTACAATAGTTACCCAATGGAAATATTCAACGAATTACAGATGTAAGGCATTACCATGGCAACCTCTACGCAGGGGTAGTGATGTGCCAGACTGGCTATTTATAGCTGGGCATGCTGGGAGGGGAGTGCCCACTTTGTAGGATATATATACACAATGATGAATGCAGATACCATCTCTCCTCATCACCAAACTTCATACGTCTGTGTCCCACTAAGTGTATACAGGAATGGTGTGAGCTCCTTTTATCAGACTCCATAACACCCTCATCCCACAGAGTGTTTGTACTTACCAGCATACTGGAAATGCAATCTATATATCTATATATAGGTACCATGTCAAAGTAGGGATATAAGTTTTGTTGAAGTTTGGAAAAAAAGTTAATGGTCCTTAACAAACCTAGCTACAGCCTCCCCAATCCCAGGCATGGCAGTATTAATATACCAAACCTATAGCCTCCCCCATCCCAGGTATGGCAGTATTAATATACCAAACCTACAGCCTCCCCCATCCCAGGTATGGCAGTATTAATATACCAAACCTACAGCCTCCCCCATCCCAGGTATGGCAGTATTAATATACCAAACCTACAGCCTCCCCCATCCCAGGTATGGCAGTATTAATATACCAAACCTACAGCCTCCCCCATCCCAGGTATGGCAGTATTAATATACCAAACCTACAGCCTCCCCCATCCCAGGTATGGCAGTATTAATATACCAAACCTACAGCCTCCCCCATCCCAGGTATGGCAGTATTAATATACCAAACCTACAGCCTCCCCCATACCAGGTATGGCAGTATTAATATACCAAACCTATAGCCTCCCCCATCCCAGGTATGGCAGTATTAATATACCAAACCTACAGCCTCCCCCATACCAGGCATGGCAGTATTAATATACCAAACCTACAGCCTCCCCATACCAGGCATGGCAGTATTAACCTTTAGGCTGCTACGCACCACAATAGTCGTTTCGAAAAGTCGGGCCGTCAGTGCTACGCCGATTGATTTCTTCAAACTATTTATCGATGATTTAATCATAAACTAGACCGTAGCTAAGATATATCTATATGCCGCCTGTGGCAATAAATATATTGAATGACGACCTGAAACCTGTAGCAAATCGCATGCAATTCTTGATGAAATACCTTACCTTTTTACCTGAGAATCTCCGTGTAAATGTACAGCGTCTTATGTCATAAATGAAGTTTTTAATCTCTGTTATCATTTTCCAATCACATTTGCTGACAAAAGCAATTTTAGAATGATCTTTCTGGTGCTTAAATCCGATTAATTAAAAGTTTCACCTTTTCTTACCTTTATTACCACCTGAACAGGTAAATACTGAAGCAACTTTAGAATCGAAAACGTTAATTAATATAAACTAGAGACAATAACGAACAATTTTCCTATAACTTTTATTCACATATAACAAATATTTTTCAAGTTATGTACATTTGAAAAATTAAGTAAATTAATTCATATTTCAATAATTAATTCAGCAGTGGCGTCCCTTTATATAGAAATCAATGTAGCAGCCTTAGGGTTAATATTGTATTTATATATATATATAAGCTCCACTTAACTAAAAGCGAAAACCCCATCCAAGGCAGTGCTACATATTGTAGAACAAGCTCCCCTTATGAAACCTACAGACTCCCTTATCCCAGGCAGTGCAGTGTATGTTGTATTTATATATATATATATGAGATTATGGGTCAAAGAAGTAATATAGACGTAAATAAAATCCCATATAACACTGGATCCTAATGGAGGTATGTCCGTAGGATACAAATTACTGAAAATAGTATATGGGGCAAAGAAGTAATTCAAACAGTGTGCACTGTTAGAATTACTTCTTTGCCCCATATATATGAGATTATATATACACTTACCAAACCTACAGTCTCCCCTATCCTCGACAGTGTTCTGCTGTATTTAATTTGCATTGTATGTGTTCCACTAACAAATCCTACAGCCTCCTCCATTCCAGGCAGTGCTGTATTGTATTTATACTCCTCTTCCCAAACCTACAGCCTCCTCCATTCCAGACAGTGCTGTATTGTATTTATACTCCTCTTCCCAAACCTACAGCTTCACCCATCCCAGACAGTGCTATATATTGTATTAATATATGAGCTCCACATACCAAACCTACAGCCTCCCCCATCCCAGACAGTGTTGTAACGTATACTGTACTGAGGTGGAGACACATTACACCTATTTCTCTCCTCCTCCTCTTCCTCACCACATCTACTGACATTATATACAGTGTGTCTGCTGGGATCTATTATAAAACATAGTAAGGTTTGTACTGATGGCTGTTGTGATTAAATATATATATAAATTACATGTGTGACATATAGAAACTATATTTTTATTTTGTTGGATAGTTTAGGGTTCGTCTTGCAGACTACCTCTACAGTTCATTACTGTGGTGTAGTGCTTGTTGTTTACCTCTCAGCTGCTGTACCACGCCTCGGCTGCGTAGAATATTCACCTAACAAATACGATGTAGCTAGCTACTACCCCTGTTGAGTAGAATAGTTACCTAGTAACACATCTTCACTGTGATATATGTATAATTACCTGGAATGTTGAATTGCTTCATCATCGTGTATATAATGATATAAACAATTTGTGTACGAGCCTCTAATATGTTAAATATGTGCAGTCTCACCTGGACCTGCAGTGTAAGTTGGTCTATCATTACTGTATCACCGCACTGTCATTACTGTATCACCCCAGTCTTCACTTCATTACTGTATATGAACATAATTAAAACATTTGATCTTCTATATCACAATGCTGTCTCGACCTTAGAGGGGAAACTGACGTCCGCCTATAAATAGTAGCAACTATATCTATATATTTCAGACACTGTAAGAGTTACTTCCTTGCCCGTATAAAATTCTAAGTAGTTCGTATCATACAAACATACGTTTACAAGGATCCAGTGTTAATCTGGAAGTTATTGGTAATATTACTTGTTTGACCTATATACCGATCAGCTGCTGTACCAGCCCTCTGCTGCGTTGTAGAATATTCACCTAATAAATACCATGTACCTTTATAGCTACACCTGTTGTATAAGGTGTTGTATACGTTGCAAACAGATATATATATATATATACTACCTACATATATATATACCATACTTGATATATATATACCATAATTATGTATCACCCCATATATATAATTGATATATATATATATATATAGAGGGGTAATATATCGGTAATGATATGGCAAATAATGCACGGTGGCGCCTTAAACAAAATATGATGGGAATTAATTTTGACTTATTTTTAACACATTGTATTATAAATGTAGATACATATGTTAAATGATTGTGTAGCCATAGTGGCATATATATAGATAGTCTCACGTTGTAATGACCATTATACAGTCTATATATAGATAGTCTCACGTTAGTCTCACGTTGTAAAGACCATTATACAGTCATACACATAACAAATTGCCTTTCTTAATACAATAACTATACTTTTAAAATTACCAATTTTATTATAGAACATCATGTACTTCTCCCAAAAACTTAAGCCACTGAATTGGATTTTCATACAGCTAGTCAACATTACGAGACATTTTGGTAAGGAAAGGTCAAAACACTTGCTATATAGCGGTATACTTTGTATAAAGTGAGCAACTAGGAAGTGATCGGATCAACAATGTCTGTCTATGCTTACAATGTGCAGTTACCAGTATATAGCACAATAGGCAGGAAATCATTTAGAGATGAAACCTGCAAGGGCGGATTCATGTAGGCGCTAAACCCTTCAACCAACCAACCAACCAAATCATTTAAATGCATTTTACTATGGTACAATATACATACACACCTATATATTGCTCAATTACATATAATTGTATTAGTTATTCTCTTTCACAACATGTGACTGAATGTCAAAACATTGAATCATGATCATGAAGATTAGATGTTTGTGTGGACACTGTGTTTGTATGGGCCTGAAGCTCAACTATGATCTAATGGAGTACAACAGTAACTAATTGTTTACACTTTGTTTACTGTAGACCCTTAGCTTGCTGGTCATTGCCCAGTTATGTACAGTATATACTTGTACACGCTACAACAGTAACTAATTGTTTACACTTTGTTTACTGTAGACCCTTGCTGGTCATTGCCCAGTTATGTACAGTATATAATACTTGTACACGCTACAACATTAACATTCCTGAGGCAACTGATGAAAGCTACCAGAAATACCACAGCCTCCGACTCTTGTTTAAAGTGTTGTTATATATATTAGCTTCTGTACATTAAAATTAAAACTCACATCATATACACGTGTACATCTTATATAATTTGAAGCATTTGTGGAGATATGAATCCTAATATCTTAATTGTTGTACAGATTAGACAAGAGAGATATCAATGGTAGCTTTATGTTAATTCCCTTTTACAAAACTTAAACTTAGAGCAATATATAACTGTGTGTATATATAGTTGTTCAGCAATTTTTTACCTATTTTGTGTTTTCAAGATCATTTCTGATTTAAAGCTGAACGTCTTTATCCATATGTGTATCCAACATTAAGTAAATCTGGTTGTCCAGCCGATTGATTGACTTTTTTCAAACTTGTCCAAGTAGACCTGCCTATACTCAAAATCCAGAGAATGAAGATGGCAGATTATCAGATTATTATACATGTACTGTAAATATACTTCTTTAAGACGCAATTACCAAGGTATGTTTGTTTCACTTTTCACACTAATTCAAACAGGATAATGATAACTGCTATAGAAAATAAAAACTATTGTATCCTATGAGTAATGTCATAGACAGTTGTGCCAAATCATAATGATTGAAATTGCAGCCATTCCAGATCAATATAAATTGTTTGATAAGTAGCAAAAAATTTGAACTTGTTTATATATAAATATGTAATGGTCTTTGTCCCTGGCTCAACCATTCACATAGAGAGCACAACTATTTAAAAATCATCTTGTAACTTCTTACAAGTCTTATGACAATTCAATTCTAATTGATTTAGTTTATTATAGTGTCACATGTAAAAGGTACAAGTATTACAATCTCTAAAATATGTCTACTCACCCACCCTTACATCCAGTCTATATCAGACTTACGAGATACTCACTCTTCCCCTATCATTCTAGACTGTAAAAAGTATTACATATATATACATACTTATGAATAAAAAACAATTTGCCAATATAAATATATGACACCCCACCAGGAAATTATAAGGTATTTCCAAACCAAGTGATTATCTATATGTATACATACATGTATATTAGCACATGCTTTATTATGGCCTTGAAGCCTATTCAGTAGAGGAAAACTAGATAGGTAAACAGGGAGTAGAGATATATTGTGCAGTGAAGGATAAGAAGACAGAAGATGAGATTGGAGTTATATTAGAGAGCAGTCCAACCTGTAGAGCTATACAAACATATAGGGACGTAGATATGGTTTATAACTAGTTTTAACAGTTGAATCATTGTCTATAATGGTGCCTTATATATCCTAGCCGACTCTTGTGTATCTGCCACTCATCATTCTGTGGTGTGGTCAACATAAGTTTGTCTACAGTATATATAAACTGGCTTTTGATAAGAGTTAAGCTCAAATAGCAATAAACATAGGTCTTGTACAGACCCGGCCTGGGTTTCGTCCTGATCATATATCAATACACGTCGGTCTTGTACAGACCCGGCCTGGGTTTC